TGAAGGGGGCTTTTATCTGGGAGACTGCCCTTGATCAAGGACCTCAGGTTAGGACCACACTGGGAGCTAGAGGTATGCAGGCAGTGGGGAGAATATTGATCGTGAGGTGGTGGAGGTGGATGGCCACTAAATCCCAGAGCCATTAAAAGTTTTATCCCCTTCTCCTGAGGCTTCATGGCCTCTCTGCATCCAAAGTCACAGCTCTGGGCATCATCTGCAGACTACAGGAAGGGCGACAACAGGTCTGACTGTCTCCTGGGGGACTTACAAGTGCACGAGCAGCTGTGCTCAGGGAACTGTTTTGTAGAGAGACCAAGTAGGTACAAGAAGCAAATACCTGAATAGCTAAAATGGAATATTTCTTTCACACTCTATGTTCTGGGTGATCTTTGCTATTCCTCAAGGAAATTTTAGAGGGGTTTATCATGGATAATTTGGACATAAAAAGAACCAATCAGTAGAAAACAATAAATATCCGTGTCTTTGTAGAGTCATGAGAAATCCTCCAAAGCAACTGAGCCATTCTTCTATCATTTGAAAACAGATCCTAACGCTGCCACGATGGTTTTCAGGTAAAAATCACTTGATACACAAACCTGATGACCTGTGTGTGATCCTAAGAACCCACATAGAGGTAGGAGAGGACCAACTCTACAAAGTTATCCTCTGACTCCACACACAAGCCATGATGCACACACACACACACACACACACACACACACACACACACACACACACACACTTTACACATACAAAAAAAGATATATTCAAGTAAGAACACAAATTCTAAACTCTGTTACTCCAGCAGATGAGTATAATTTTCTAACATAATCATAATTCCCACACTGAAGCCTAAAATGGAGCCAAAATGATGGCTCAGCACCTTAGCAAGTAAAGGCAGCCGGATGATCCTCATTAAATGTACAGGTCCTAGGTGATAAGAGAAAAGACCTGACCTCTCAAACATATCCTCTGACCTCCACATAGTGCTTTGGCTCTTGCATGTCCAAAAACATAGATGGGAACATGCACACACCAAATCTATCAAGCAATTAATGTATAAAATTAAAAACAGATAAATAAAAACGAGCAATACTCCATTTCACTAATATTTCAGCCTATGCTTATTGAACTTTCACTTTCAATCTTTGATCTTTTCTTAAATACCAGGATATAATGGAAGTTCACATTCTGTAATTGATAGATAATTCCTTATTAATACAAGCTTTATTGAGATATAATTCACGTAATGTACAGTTCATCCATTTACATTATGCAACTTTATTTTAATTTTTTCCTTTTTTATTGAGAAATTTTTTATTCATTCCACATACCAACGACAGCTCCTCCCTCATCTCTTCTCCCACTCCCTCCTAGCGTTCCCCAACAGCCCACCCCACAGCCCCTCGTCTAAAAAGGTATGGTCTCCCATGGGGATTCTGGTACATTCATCTGAGGCTGATCCAAGCCTCTCCTCTTGGATCAAGGCTGTGCAATTGTCCCACCATAGGCAATTGGCTCCAAAAAGTCAGTTCATGCACCAGGGACAGATCCTATTCCCACTGTCAGGGGCCCCTCAAACAGACCAAGCTATACAACTGTCTCGCCCATGCAGAGAGCCCAGTCCAGTCCCATACAGACCATGCACATCTGTCAGTCCAAAGTTCACGAGTTCCCACTAGCTTGGTTCACTTGTATCTGTAAGTTTCCCCATCATTGTCTTGATGCACCTTGCTCACAGAATCCCTCATCTCTTTCTTAGACTGGAATTCAGAGCTTGGCCTGGTGGTTGGCCATGGCTTCTGCATCTGTTTCCATCAGTTACTGAATGAAGGCTCTATGATGACAGAGTATTCACCAATCTAATCACCTGGATAAGCCAGCTCAGCCACCCTCTCCACCACTGCTAGTAGTCTAAGCTGGGGTCATCCCTATGGATTCCTGGGAATTTTCCTAGCAGAAGGTTTCTCCTATACCAGTGATGGCTCCCTCTCTCAAGAAATGTCCTTCAATGCTCTCACACTCTGCCCATGTTCCAGCTCAATGATCTCATTCCCCCATGCTCACACCCACCACCTCCTACACTCCATTGCTCCCCTCACCCACAGTTTACTCAGGAGATCTCATCTATTTCCCATTCCCAGGGCATTCCATGCATCCCTCTTAGGGTCCTCCTTGTTACCTAGCTTCTCTGGAGCTGTGGGTTGTAGGCTGGTTGTCCTTTGCTTTACTTCTAGTATCCACTTATGAGTGACTACATATCATGTTTGTCTTTTTGAGTCTGGGTTACCTCACTCGGATATTTTCTTTTTCCATCCATTTGCCTGCAAATTTCATGATGTCATTGTTTTTTTTTTTACCACTGAGTAATACTTCATTGTGTAAATGTACCACATTTTCTTTATCCGTTCTTTGGTTGAGGGGCATCTAGGTTGTATCCAGGTTCTGGCTACTACAAATAATGCTGCTATGAACATACTTGAACAAGTGTCCTTGTGGTATGATGGAGCATTCCTTGGGTATATGCCCAAGAGTGGTATCATTGGGTCTTGAGGTAGATTGAGTCCCAGTTTCCTGAGAAACCACCATACTGATTTCCAAAGTGGCTGTACAAGTTTGCACTCCCACCAACAATGGAGGAGTGTTCCCCTTGTTCCACATCCTCTCCAACATAAGCTGTCTTCAGTGTTTCTGTTCTTAGCCATTCTCACAGGTGTAAGATGGTATCTCAGAGTCTTTTGATTACATTTCCCTGATGACTAAGGATGTTGAGCAATTCCTTAAATGTCTTTCAGCCATTTGACATTCTGTTGAGAATTCTGTTTACTTCTGTAGCCCATTTTTTCATTGGATTGTTTGTTATTTTGATATCTAGTTTCTTGAGTTCTTTATATATTTTGGAGATCAGCCCTCTATCAGATGTGGGATTGGTGAAGATCTTTTCCTTTTCTGTAGTCTGTCATTTTGTCTTATTGACCATGTCTTTTGCCTTATAGAAGCTTCTCAGTTTCAGAAGGTCCCATTTATTGATTGTTGTTCTCAGTGTCTGTGCTACTGGTGTTTTATTTAGGAAGTGGTCTCCTGTACCAATGCATTCAGAGCTACATCCCACTTTCTCTTCTATCAGGTTCAGTGTAACTGGATTTATATTGAAGTCTTGGATCCACTTGGACTTCAGTTTTCTACATGCTGATATATGCAGAACTATTTGCAATCTTCTACATGTTGACATCCAGTTATGCCAGCACCATTTGTTGAAGATGCTTTCTTTTTACCATTGTACCGTTTTGGCTTCTTTGTTGAAAATCAGGTGTTCATAGGTATGCGGATTAATGTCAGGGTATTCATTTAGATTCCTTTGGTCCACATGTCAATTTTTATGCCAATACCAAGCTGTTTTTATTACTATAGCTCTATAGTAGACCTTGAGGTCAGGCATGGTGATGTCTCCAGAGGTGTCTTTATTATTCGAGATTATTTTGGATATCCTGTGTTTTTTGTTTTTCATATAAACTTGTGTATTGTTCTTTCCAGGTCTGTGAAGAATTGTGTTGGGATTTTGATGGGGGTTGCACTAAATCTGTAGGTTGCTTTTTGTAAGATTGTCATTTTTGTTATGTTGATTCTACCTTTCCATGAGCATGGGAGAACTTGCCATTTTCTGATATCTTCTTCCATTTCTATCTTTAAAGACTTAAAGTTCTTGTCATACAAGTCTTTCACTTGCTTAGTTAGAGTTACTCCAAGGTATCTGATATTATTTGTCGCTATTGTAAAGAGTGATATTTCTCTAATTTCTTTCTCAGCCCATTTATCATTTGTATATAGAAGGGTTACTAATTTTTTTTTAGTTAATCTGGTATCCTACCACATTGCTGAAGGTGTTTATCAGCTGTAGGAGTGCCCTGGCAGAATTTTGGGGACACATGTATACTATCATATCATCTGCAAATAGGGAAAGTTTGACTTACTCCTTTCCAATTTGTATCCCTTTGATCTCCTTTTGCTATCTTATTTCTCTACCTAGAACTTTGAGTACTATATAGAATAGATATGAGGAGAGTGGAGAGCCTTGTCTTGTTCCTGATTTTAGTGGAATTGCTTTCAGTTGCTCTCCATTCAATGTGATGTTGGCTGTTGGCTTGCTGTAAATTGCCTTTATTATGTTTTGGGTATGTTCCTTGTATTCCTGATCTCTCCAAGATCTTTACCATGAAGGGGTGTTGTATTTTGTCAAAGGCTTTTTCAGCACCTTATGAGATGGTCATGTGGAGTTTTTTCTTTCAGTGTGTTTATACAGTGTATTACACTGACAGTTTTCATATGTTGAGCCCTCCATACATCTCTGGGATAAAGCCTACTTGATCTCTTCTCAGACATCAGGAAATAATGGAAGTTCACACTCTGTAATTGATGGGTAGTTCTTTTTTAAAACAAACTTTATTGAGACATAATTCACATAGAGTACAATTCATCCATCTACATTTTCTTTATGCAACTATCCAGGTGTAGGAATACATCTAAAATCCCAACACTCAGGACGCTGAAGCAGGAAGATTGCTACAAGTTTGAAGCCAGCCTGGTTGATGTATAAAAGCCTGTCCCAAATAAGTAAATAAAAGAAGATGACAATTTAGTGGTGTTTAGCTTATTGGTGGAGTCTTACAACCATTACCAAGTCATTTTTTAATTAATGACTTGTGAGCTGCCTGACATGGGTTCTTGCAACCAAAGTGGATTCTTTGGAGGAGGAGTGAGTGCGCTGAACCACTGAGCCAATTCTACAGCCACACCAAACAAATTTCAGACCTTCAATGCCCCAGAAAGAAATACTGCACCCTTTAGTCTACATGCCTCACCTCCAATGTCCCCTCCAGAAACCTCAAGAAAACACTATTCTAATATGTGTCTCTCTGGGTTTCCTTCTTCATAGATTGAAATATTAAAATATATAATGTTCTTTATCTAGCTTCCTTAAATCACTATAAAATTCTCAGTATTTAACCACATATTAGACAGTATTCTATATCTTTTATATTTATTTCTTTTTTTAAGATTTGTTTATTTATTATGTATATAGTGTATGTATTCCTGCATAACAGAAGAGGGCACCAGATCTCTCTATAGATGGTTGTGAACCACCATGTGGTTGCTGGGAATTGAACTCAAAACTCAGGAAGAGCAAGCAGCAAGTGCTCTTAACTTCTGAGCCATGTCTCCAGCCCTTATATTTATTTCTTATTGCCAAATAACGTCCTAGGGATGAGTAAGTCATACCAAACATTCATAAACTGATAAATATTTTGAGTGTTTCAACTTTTAGTGCCTAAATAATGCTTCCTTGAAGGTTCATTTACAGTCCTTGCAGACGTGTTTTTATTTTTCTTGGGTATATATCTGTGAGATTGCTAAATCACATGGTAAGTCTGTGAAGGAACTGTCAATGAAAGATTCAATCCCCACTACTAATGATCTCAAAACACAAAGGAGAGATCTATGATCAGCCTGTCACTTCCTCACACCCTCAGCAACACTTGAGATCATCATCACTTCATCACCCTTTTCATAATTTACATTTATATTTTGTGTGTATGCAGATAGGGGGTGCTTCTGGTAGAAAGCAGAGGTAACACAGCAACTTAGTGATGTCAACTATCTCCTTCCAAAATATGGGTCCTCTGTATCAAACCCAGGTTGCCAAGGTCAATGGTAAGTGCCTCTACCCATTGAGCCATCCTGTCAGCTCCCCTTTCTAACTGTCTCAATTGTGATCAATTTTACCAATACATGCAACTCAGGCTGGCCTTGAACTTGTTGAGTAGCAGAGGATGACCTTCAACTCCTAAGCCTCCTTCCACATCCTCTCAAGTGCTATGATTACAGGCCTGTAGCACTATACTAAATTGTGTGAGTTTGTGTATGTGCAGGTTTGGGTGTGCACACATACATGTAAGTGGATGCACATTCTTCTCAAGACCAGACATTATCATCAGATATTATTGCTCAACCACTTCCCCTTCCTTATTTTTCTAATCTAAATTATTTGATTATTGTTTGCGTGTATGTGTGCATGGGCTCAGACATGCCAAGGTGTGCACGTGGAGGTCAGGACAACTGTCAGGAATTTGGTGCTCACCTTCCTCCATGCGGGTCCCAGGAACTGAACTCACACTGTCAGGGTTGACAGGGAATACTTTAACTGGGGAACCATTTCACCAGACTCTGAAGCTTATTATTTTGTAATTCCTTATTTTATTTTACTTCTTGACTGTTTTGTCTATACCTATGTATGGAAATCATGTGCATGCCTGGTGCCTGCAGAACTCGGAATTTGCCATCAGTTCCCCTGAAACTTGAGGTACATGGGTTTGTGAACCACCATGTGGGTGTTCCTAACTGTTGAGGCATCTCCTCAGCCCCCTTTTTACCTTAGGTTTTAAGACAGGATCTCTCACTGAACCTGGACATCACTGAGTTGACTATACTGGCAGACCAAAATCCCCAAAGTTCCTCCTTTCTCTGACTCCTGAGTGCTGAGATTATAGGAATGTGCCAGTACAACCTGTCTCCTCTGTGAGTTTTTAATGGTTCATTTCTTTCCAAGAGTAGCAGTAACTGGTTGAATTAAAAAGGTTTAACACTGAGCTGTGCCTCCAAAATTCATTTCTTCAAGTCCTGTCTCTAAGCACCTCAAAATGGGACATACTTTGCCATAAGTAAACTGGAGCTGATGTAATAAAGTTTAAATGGTGTCCCCAGGTTAGAATTAGTCCCTAATTCCAACAGGGCTGCTATCCTGTTTAGAAGAGGGAATTGGGGCTGGGTGTGTCTGGAATGACTTCAATCTCAGTACTTGAGCGGCAGAGGCAGGTAGATTTCTATCAGTTTGGGGACAGACTGGTCAACATTAGGAGTTTCAAGCCAGCCATGGCTGTGGGTGAGACACTGTCTCAAAATCAAACTACACACCAAAAACAAGAGGATACAACACACACACACACACACACACACACACACACACACACACACACACACACACACACTCACATGCACACACACATGATGAAATGAGAACACACAGTGAGGGGATGACTGTGTCAGGGCAAGAGTGAGGCCACACACAACACAAACCCTAATGATAACTTAGCTTTGCATTTCCTGCTTTCAGAATGGTGAAGGAATAAGTTCTGCAGCTCAAACAGTATGGAATGTGGTGGTCTGCTGCCATTCAACCTCTGGAATGAACCCCACTAATAAATAGGAGGAAGAAAATCACAAAAGAACATTTACCATTCATTTCCACTTACAAGAGGTTTAAAAAGCAAGTGAAATTCGTCAGTGTGAGCAAAAGCCAGGGTTCTGTTACAGGACTACTAGAAGCTTCTGGAAGTAGCTGATTCTTGATTGGAGGCCAAGGATGTGCAGTGTTTGCTAGGGGAGTATTCATTCTACACCCCAATTATGGGTAGTGCACTTGTCTGTCTCAACAAAGCATGTAACTAAGAACAGCTGTAAGATTAGGGTTCTGGCTGGTGTCCACAGAAAAGCAAAGACTGCAATATTTCACTGGATGGATGCGGTGATTTGACTGTAAATAACCTACAGTCTCATTTATTTGAATGTTGGTTCATAGTTGGTGGACTGTTGGGATGGATTGAGAGTTGTAGCATTGTTGCATGAAGGGTGTCAATGAGGGTGGTCTTTAAAAGTTCAAATTCCGGCCAGGCGGTGGTGGCGCACGCCTTTAATCCCAGCACTCGGGAGGCAGAGCCAGGTGGATCTCTGTGAGTTCGAGGCCAGCCTGGGCTACCAAGTGAGTCCCAGGAAAGGCGCAAAGCTACACAGAGAAACCCTGTCTCGAAAAACCAAAAAAAAAAAAAAAAAAAAAAAGTTCAAATTCCCACACTAGGCACACTCTCCACCTCTCTGCCAGCCTGTAGATCAGAAGGTAAGATCTCAGCTACTGCTGAAGTGCCATGCCTGCCTGCTTGATGCCATGCTTCCTATCGTGATTGTCATGGACTTACCCTTTGATACTCTAAATAAGTCCCCAGTTAAATGCTTTTCTTTTAGAACCTGTCTTGGTCATTATGTCTCTTCACAGCAGTAGAACAGTAACAAAGACAAAGGACACGTACAGGAGGCTCACAGTGCCCTCTTGACCCTCAGATTCCAGCTCCACATGCCCTTACCTCTTTGGTCTGCAAACTGTCCCTCAGGGCAGGGACTGTAATCAAAACAGCAGTGGGGGACTCCCAGCCTGGGCACTTGGCTGAACCCTGGAAGGCAGCTTTCACTGCAGACAGAGCTGGGCACCTAGTAACAGTGAGCACAGTATCACCAGTGACTCTCCAGGAATACAGATGCTTGACCTCAGCCTGAGAACCAGAACAGAACAGTTTCCTCACATAACTCTAGATGGCATAGATGACTGTCAGAAAAACACGTCTATCCCATCAGATGTCAGACTGGAGAGGGACCTTTGAATGGTGTATAGGAATGACTGCATCTGACTTACTTGACTAAGGGATTCAAAAACATAGCTAAACAGTTGGATATGTTGTCTTTCCAGTCCCTCTGGGAATCCTATACCAACAATTAAAGGTAATGGGACAGGAGAGAAGGCTCAGTGGTTAAAAGTGCAGGCTGCTCTTTCAGAAGAGTAGGGTTCAATTCCAAGCCCCCATATAGCAGCTTACACTGTAACTCCAGTTCCAGAAGATCCTGTGTCCTCTTCTGGCCTGAACAGACACCAGACACACACAACAGTACACAAAAATACATGCAGGAAAAATTCCATATATGCACAAAAATCTTTGAAAAGGATTTTAAGTATTGGCAGCCATTCAAAAGTCCACAGCCTGGACATGATTTCCTTGATGCTCATGGCTTTCAATTTCTTTCTCTGAAGCTCTCCACAGCCTTGGGGCTGCTTGATGTACTCCAAGTTTAACTCAGAAGACATGATAGTCTCTCTTACTTTTCTCCATCTCCCATGTGAAGCTGTTAAGATTTACAGTTTGACTACACTGCTATTTTTCACTTAAACCCTAATATTAAAATATCATCCAGCTTCAGTAAGAGAAAAATTTAAGTACTGACTCCCCCCTCAACACACACAGACACATACACACACACACACACACACACACACACACACACACACACACACACACACACATACACACTTTCACACCACACTTAATCATCCTCTCCTTTACCTTGGACCTGCCAAGGATAACTCAGTTTTTCTTAGCGGAGCCCTACCTCCAGGCAAGGATTAGGAAGATGGAAGTGTGGCATGCTGCCATCACTGCCACAACAGAAGACAGCAGAAAACCCTCCCATGATCAAGGCCATTGAAAGGTTCTTCAAAGAAGTCCTTGGAACACATAGCATGTGTCATTCATGCTTGAGAAATATAAGAAAGGGAACCTCATTCTCATGTGGAAAGCCTTGATTGGAGATGCCACCAGAACAATGGTAGATCAAGTTGTAGAGGAGAGAACTCTATGTACACTGGTATTAGGCAGCTGAGTCATTTCTATGCACCACATTCCACACATAGACATAACTATCCCAACACTGCTTCTCATTGTGTTAGTAAATGTCAGGGCTTGAACCTCAAATGTTTCCCAAAGTCTCCTGTGTTGGACCACTGGTTATGTGGCAGTGGGTATTTAAAGAATGATTGGATCTTGATGCCTGTGGTGGTTTGAATGTAATTGGCCCCCATAAACTCATAGGGAGTGGCACTATCAGGAGATGTGGCTTTTTGGAGTAGGTGTGGCCTTGTTGGAGGAAGTGTGTCATTATGGGGGTGGGCATTGGGGTATTATATATGCTAGACCATGCCCAGTGACCCAGTTCACTTCCTGTTGCCTGTAGGTCAAGATGTAGGACTTTCAGCTCCTTCTCCAGCATCATGTCTGCCTGCAAGCCACCATGCTGCACCAAGATGGTAATGGATTAAACCTCTGAAAATGTAAGCCACCCAAATTAAATGTTTTTCCTTTGTAAGAGATGTCATGGTCATGATGTCTCTTCACAGCAATAGAAAGCCTAAGACAGAAAATGATTACTGGGATTGGGGTATTAAAGTGATAGGCCTGATCATGTTATTGTTTGAATAAATATGGATCATGGGAAAGTCGATTAGAAAAGCAGTAGAAAGTTTTAAGTGGTGCTTACTGGCCCATTCTAGTAGGAGCACAGAGACCGAGGTGCTAAGTGTGATTAGATGAACAGTAGGCATTGCTCAAGAAGTTTCAGAAGAGAAGAATACTAATGTGTGACCTAGAGATTGTTCTTTTGATAATTAGTTGAAGAGTGTGATTGCTTTTTGCTCTTGTCCAAATAATCTGCCTGAGGCTAAAATGAAGAGTTTTGGATTAATTCCATTGGCAGAAGAAATTTCAATATAGCCAAATATAGACTGTGTCCTGTGGTTGTTAGTGTTAACTCTAAGAAAGATTTATAATGAAAAGGAACAAGCTGAGCCAGGAAAAATATGAAATATGTATAGTTTGAGGAGAAAAGGAACACCAGGACCTGGAATGGAGCTACGTCCTGTGTTCAAGGTGATAAACAGATTAAGAAATGGAATAAGGGGATTGGTGACCACAGGGCAAGATCCCTCTCAGCTAAATTTCCAACTTGTGAAAAGGAATTAAAGAAAAGCTTAAAGTCAGGTATGTGGTGCACAACTTTAGTCCCAGAAATCAGAAGGCAGATGCAGGTGTATCTGACTTTGAGGCCAGCCTAGTCTACAGATCCAGTTTCAGGACAGCCAAGCTTGGGCAGTGAAGGAAAACATCAAAAACAGAAAGCGATAAACATGTAATTGAATGAGAGGGCCATGTTCCAGTACCAGTAAGCAACAGAACTTGGCAGTTTGGCTATGTGGTTCTGGCTCTTAGGCTAGAAGAAAAGTGTTATGGAAATTGCCTCTGAGACTATGGAAAGCTGCTGAGGCAAGTCATGTGTCCAGGAAGTCCCTGAATGGAGGCCTAAAGAGGTCATTGCTTGAAGCTTTGAAGATGAAGCCTGAATTGCCTTGAAGTTCCCAAGATGTTGGAAATGCCAGAGCCGTGGGATACCCGCTGCTGAGAGCTACTAACAGGGAGTGGAACCAGCCCAAGAGAGAGAAGTGTGTTGCAGTTAACATAGATGAAAGGAGTTGGAGTTTGAGGAACGTATTAACAACTGACATAAATATGCAGTTTAGAGCTTTCCCACCTGGTCACCTGTCCTGCTTTGGTCCACTATTTCCTCACCATGCTCCCTTTTATTCATTTGGAGCAATAAAGTACATCCTGTGCCATTATATGTTGGAAGAATGTGATCTGTTTTTTTTTAACTTTGATTTTATAGGGGATTATAGTTAAGAGACTGCATGAATCTCAAAAGAGACTTTGAACTTTGGACATTTAAACATTGTTTCAACTATGATAGACAGTGAGAATTTTGGAAATTGGACTCAATGCACTTGCATTATGATAATTTTACAAGCATAGAGGGGTAAGGAGTGAAATATGGTGGTCTGAACATAATAGGCCTCTATAAGCTCATTGGAAGTGGCACTATTAGGAGATGTGGATTTGTTGGAGTAGGTGTGGCCTTGTTGGAGGAAGTGTGACACTAGAGATGGACTACAAGGTCTCATCTGTGCTCAAGTCACACCCAGTGACCCAGTTCACTTCCTGTTGCCTACAGGTCGAGACGTAGGACTCTCGGCTCCTTCTCGAGCACCAGTTCTGCCTGCATGCCACCATGTCCCATAAGGATGATAATGGACCAAGTAAACCTGGGAAAACGTAAGCCACCTCATTAAATGCTTTTATTTTATAAGAGATATTGTGGTCATGATGTCTCCTCACAGCAATAGAAACCCTAAGTAAGACAATGCCTCTGACATAATCAATGTATTAATTCCTCAGTGGATTAATAATTTGACTAATTATTCTACATAATGGAAATAGAACATGGGATCTAGTTAGGATTAGTGGGACACTGGGGCTATGCACTGGTAAGATGTAACTTGTTTACCTATCTAATCAATCTGGCTCCCCACATTCCCTACCTGTGCCCTATGAATGGAGCAACCTCTTCCACCACACATGCCTGCTGCCACGCATGACATACTGCCTCAAGCACACATACACACAAAAAAATGGATATATCTGAACTTGAATCTCTCAAACCAAGAGGCAATTAAAACTTTTCCTCACTTCAAACTGTGTCTCAGGTATTTGTCATAGTGGGTGAAAAAATATTAACACAACAAGTACACTGAGTGTCTGTTGAGTCTATGACCCAGATAGACCATGGGAAAGTAAGTCACTATCATCCTCTTCTCAGAGCAGGTCCTGAACACAGACACTGAAAATACTTCCAAGGGAGCACCAGCTGCAGATACTCATTCTATTTTCTACGTCTTTTATGTTCTCCCCAACATTATTTTTATATGTGTATGTGGTGTAAATATTTGTATGTGCACTTATACATCCATGTGGGTTCATGTTCTTGAATGGACAAGTATATATGGAGGCCCAAGGTTAAAGTTGGGAATCATCCTCAACTGCTTTTCCACTATGTTCATTAAGGCAGAGGCTCAAAGTAAAACCCAGACTTCACTGATATGACTAGTCTTACTAGCAAGTTTGCTTTGTGAATCTCCTTTTCTCCACCTTCCAAGACTGAAATTACAGGTGGAACACACTGCCCACTCATCGTGTACAAGTGTTCTGGAGATCCAAAGTCTGGTTCTTGTACTTGCATACAAAATACTTTAACCACTGAGCCATCTCCGAATACCAGCTTTTATATTTTCATTTTGGTTTGTGAATCAAGATCATGCAGAGAAAGATCTCTTATGAGGTAAACAGCATAGCCAGTTATCCCTGACTGGCCCAATCTAGGGCTACATCTACTTCATGCACAAATGGAGATGAGGAATCCTGGACTTGGAATTTCCCTGTGATCTTAACACACTTGGACAAGAGTCATCTCTGCATTCAGGCAACTCACATGAAGATCCTCCATCAAATGGAACTTCATTTTGTTCCCCAAAGAGACTTGAGGGTCTATCGTGCCTACATGGACCAAGTGAAATACACCCTCAGGGGTCTTCTGCCCTTGGAGAATGTCAAATTTTGTCACCAAATCTCCATTAGCATCAAATATAATTTCGCTTCCATCAGGAGTCTTGAAGTGCACCTTCCTGAGGGCTTGAAACAGCTGAAAACAGAAGGGAGACATTGTACACAAACCAGGGCAGGTCTGGAGTCTTGTCCAAAATAGCATATACCATTCACCTCTGCAATGGTACAGAGTCACTTCAACCATGGACTGGTCCCATTGGGCATGGGGAAGATCACAGACCTGTGATATTTTCAGGGACTTCCAAATATGTTTTAGCTTTAAGTAATAATACATAATATTTAATCAAGATAATTTTAAACCTAGTACAGTGTGTGTGTGTGTGTGTGTGTGTGTGTGTGTGTGTGTGTGTGTGTGTGTGTGTGTGTGTAGCTCACTCATATTGTGTAATCGAGAGAACAACTCTCAGGAATGTTCTCTCCTGCTGCCATGGGGGACTCAGAATCCAACTTATGCTTGGAGACAAGTGCCTTTACCCAATGAGCCATCTCAATAGCCTTAAAATTAAACCCAAAAACATGACAATGTGGTTCCTGCTCCAGGGTCTCATTTGGCTGTGCACTACTGTCCTCAGTCTTCCCATCACACTCAGTAGACTCCAAATCCTAGCAGGACTTCCACAGACTGGCCCCAGCCCACCTAGACCACCCATTCACTCCCAACAGTCTCCCATTACTCATCAGTCCCGTCCATGATGCTCTTCTATTTGCTCCATTCTAGGGTCTTGACACATGCTGTCCCTGCCATCTGCAATGCAATCACTTCTACCCATGGTGAGACTTCTCATCCTCTTGTCTGGAACTCACATATTTCCATACCAAGAGAATGTTTATAGCCTTTCAGCTCCTCACTCAACTTACTTTATATCTTCATCATAGATTACACACAGACATTGCAACACTCACATATTTTAATTTTGTGGCAGGATCTTGCTTTGTAGTCCAAGTTGGCCTCAATATCCTGTGTGCTAGGATGACAGGCATGGGCCTCCAAGCCTGGCTTCCTATAAATTTTAATCTGTCACCCACAGCCAGAATGCCAACAACTATCACTCTCCTTCTGGTTTACAACCATATGTATCTTCACCAGGCACATACAGGAAACTCAGGTCATCTGAGTTTCGGTAATGAAACCATACCCCCTCCTTGGCAATGATTCTCACTGTTTACCTCATCAGTGAGCAACGTGTCTTCCAGGGGTCCTCTTACCAATTGGGACCTTTTCTACCCTGAGTGCCTTGGAAAAGATAAACAGATATATAGATTGATAGATAGATATATGGATGGATGGATGGATGGATGGATGATGGATGGATAGACAGACAGACTTCAGACAAATTTAAAGACAGATAAAGACTCAGGGCAAAATGGCCAAAATATATAGATAAATGTATGAAATTATCAATATTCTTAAAATAGAAAAATAAATAAGGGCTTAGGAGATGGCTCTGTGATTAAAAAACTAGTCATCAACACTTGAGTATCAGCCTTCAAATCTCCAGGATGCATGTAAATGTCAGGTGGATGTGGCAGCCAATCTCTACTTACATCCTCAGAAGGTGGAGACAGGAGATGCCCAGACCAAGGTGGCTAGCAAGACTCAACACATCAACAAGTTCTGGGTTTGAGTGAAAGACTCTGCCCCAAAGCAAGATAGAAGAGGATTGAAAGATGATTCCTCATCATCCTAGGCCTTCCCATATATTGTACACATGAGTGTGCTCCCCACAACATGTGTCTCCATGCCCACACACATGTGCCCACAGACTTGTACCATATATCAAAAAAAATAAAAAATAAATAAATGGCATTGGATATCTGTTTGAAATTCTGATTTTGCAGCATGCCTATGCTAAAAGTCATCAACTGTTTACCAAAAATTAAATTTGTGACACTAAAAAATCTATTTACTGTTATCTGAAATATTAATTTTACTAGGCATCCTGTATTTGCAAAGTTAGGCAAGCCACATGGACAGAACTTATCTGAGATCACACACATAGCATGGAATCCTTGTCCACTGCTCCTTCTAAGATTCCTCTCAGTTGCAAGTATGAGGCATCCTTGCTGGAGCATACAGTCAGCTTCACCTCTATACTCTAGTTGGAACCAATGTCCTCTTCCCCAAACATACCTGAATCACCCACTCCACATGCCTCTCTCACCTGCCAGGGTTGGACATCCTGAGAGTTGGTTACTTTCCCATGCTGGTGCCCATGGGTTATCATGTCTTGCAGGGCATGAGCAATGCTGTAGACAGCTGTGTAAGCATCATCAATTTGACTCACTTCTGGGAAAGGATGCTGCTTGTTTTTCAGACTCTCATTCCCTGAGCACAACTGGACACCCTCTGTCATTGTGCTGCTCTGGTGGGGCCATGTACAATCAAAGGTGAACTCCCAAAACTTCTTTATAAACATGTCTTCGGGGGTCTGGCTGGGCCGCAGGTGAGCAAGGAACTCAGGGAAGCCAATTGCCCTGCTGCTGTGATACAGAAGGCCAAATGTGCTGTGCAGTACCTGGGAAATGCCTGGAATGGTGATGGTGAGCACCATGTGAAGAATGTTCTTGCTGACCCAGACCTGGCCTGAGACAGGGACAGCCAGTAAGCCATACAGGATGGGCTGGAAATTGGAACTGCTTAGGAAAACTAGAACAACCCTGGCTGTGGATTTTTGCATATTCTGGACAATCTCTTCAATCTTCCCCAGGGACTCATGGGAAGGAACATGGAGGGTGTACTCAATGCACACACCAGCTGTGCTCAGCTCCTGAGTGGCCAGAGAGCTGGCCTGCTGCCCAAAGTCATCATCATAGGCCAGAATGATCACCCAGGACCACTGAAAGTGAATTATCAGCTGAGTCACTGCAAGGGAGGATATGAGGTCACTAGTTACAGTTCGCAGGAAAGATGGGAACTGGATCTTGTCACTGAGGCTGGGTAGTGAGGATGAGTAACTGACCTGTCAAGGAAGAGCAAGGTGATAACAAAATGTATGAGATCTGGACTTAAGCATGGGCTGATTGTCTGGTTTAAATGGGGGAAGGAAGAGGATGGACACATGCTTCTGCAGTTAAGAGCCCTTATTGTTCTTGGAGAATACCCAAGTTCATTTCCTAGTACCCACATCAGGTTGCTCACATTGTCCTGTAACTCAGCTCCAGGAAATCTGATACCCTCTTCTGGCTTCCTCCTGCATCTGTAGCATAGATTCACACAGACATTTACATACACATGAATGTGTATTAAATTTTAAAACATAAATAATTTTCAGGGAAGGACTTGAGCATCCTGATTTGAGAATTGTGCTGGTTCTATAGGCAGCTGTGTGCCCCTCACTGGCTGATCATCCCTGACACAGCCCTGTGGCTTTTGGAATGAAGCCCAGAACCATAGCTTTACCTCCTCTGCTCTCAGCATCTGTCCTTCACCTGCCCCCTAATATTTCATTCTTGCACCTCGGCTTAGATTGGTATGACTCTCTGCTTTGCAACCAACTGTTATATTCTTCTTTTGAAATTCCGTGTGTGTGTGTGTGTGTGTGTGTGTGTGTGTGTGTGTGTGTGTGTGTGTGTCTGTGTGTCTGTGTGTCTGTCTGTGTGTCTGTGTGTGTGGTGTGGTGTATGGTGGGATAGTACATGTATAGAGGTCAGAAGACAAATTGTGGGAACTGGGTCTCTTCTTCCACCATGTCGATCACAGAGGCCGAATCTCACGTCATCATGCTTGGCTAGCAGCTTTACCCCATCAGCCATCTCACTCTCCCTGGTATGAAACAGTCAGTTCCTGGTAGGAACCAACCTGCAAGAATAACAATCGGCTCTTATCACACCACCATTGTGAGATTTTCCAGTTTTCAGACAAATCGGAGCCTGGTTTGACATGTTGTCAAGGAAGAGATGGTATCATGTTCTCAAAAGAGAGAGTTCTTGGAGATGTGACGATTGGGGAATCTGTGTCTGTGTTTGTTTTGAGGGGCTCAGAATGTGGCTCTCAGCCTCAGGGTGTGAATGCAAACCCTTCTCCTACCACTACAAGATCTGTAAAAGTTTTATTGTCTTAACACAGAGGCCCTAGCATCTTGTTGGTTCATATTCAGTGATAAGGCTGACTCAATCTCATGCAGGTGGTCCTGCCAGGCTCTCCAATAAAACAGAAGATATTCAGTTAAGTTTGATTACAAACAATGATCATTTTTATAAACATATCCAATTACACATACATTTTTAACTAATGACAAATTATAGTTTAATGGAAATATTGAGAATAAGTTTGACTGTAAATAATTCATTGTTACATTGATATTCAAATATTTACTCTTTTCCATGCATGAATGTTTTGATTGTATGATGTGCACCACATGTGTGTCTGGTGTCCTTGGAGGACAGAAGGAGCCCCATTGCTGGAAATGGAGCTACAGATGACTGTGAGTCCCCATGTGGGTGCTGGGAATTGAATTTGGATCCACTAGAAGAGCAGCCAGTGAGTACTCTTAACCTCTGAAACATCTCTCCAGTTCCTGAAATTCAAATTAAACTAAATCTTATCGGGCAGCCCAACAAGTTCAAAAACTAGAAGTTCTTAAGGTAAGTTCAATATATCAAGTTTCTGCTCCGGTCACGATATTTCACAGCACTTAGGAATCACAAAAAAAAGGAACTAGAGTTCCGGGTTGCCTGGGTTACATGGAGAATTGGTGTCTCAACATACACACACACACACCACCACCAATGACATAAATGAAGCTTTCTGTTGTGTATGTCATCATACTCAGAGTAAGAAATGAAGTTTCTAATCATTAAAATATCCCTAAATGAGATGGGATGGAAAGATGCCTCAGTGGTTAAAAGCACTAGCTGCAAAATCATAAGGATAGGAGCTCAGATCCCAGTACCCACATAACAAGTTTGGTGCTCCTTTCATGGCTGTAACCTCAGCTCCAAGAAGGGTGCACATAGGAGGATAGATAGAACTTACTTTCTTCCACCCTAGCCAAGGAAACATGGGCCCTAGGTTAAGGGAGAGATTCTGCCTCAAAGTGATAGGTAGAGACTGATGAAGTAGGCCACCAGATGGCCTCTAATGGCCTCCACAACGATACAGAGCTTCATACACTTACACACACACACACACACACACACACACACACACACACACACACACACACACTCCTGCATGCACATAGATGTAGAGAGAGAGACAGAGAGAGAGAGAGAGAAGCATACACTCATGGAAACACATACACATACATTGATTATGCCATAATTTCAAAAAAAAAAATAATCCTGCCTTACAGCGGGGCATGGTGAAACACACCTGTAATGTAACATTTGGAAGGCTGAGGCATGAGAATGTATCTGCAATTTCAAGGCCAGCCTGGTCTACATAGTGAGTTCTAAGGCACCTAGGTCTTCAGGGTAAGACTCTGTGTCTCAAGAAACAAAATTATAAACTTTACAGAAACCTCAAGTTCAGAAGCACTTCAGTGAGAATATACACTAAAGTGGTGATAGGTAAGTCCTTGGATACAGTTCTGTGGATTACACCATTCAGTTTCAAGGGACAGGGGAAACCCCTTCTTACAAAAAAAATTAACAAATGTGAGACATTCCAAGAGACTGGAATTTCCCCGAATTTAGAGACTTCATAGTGAAAAGCAAATGGATTTAAATCAGAATCTTCATACAATACTTATGTTAATGTACAGCATGAATATACATATACATTTGTGTATGTATGTATACATGTGTGTGTGTACACACACAAACACACACACACATACACACACATATATATATAATATATATATTATATATATATTTATTATATATATATATGTTGAGAAGGGGTCTCAACTAGCCAAGGCTAGCCTCAATCTCACTATATAGCTAAGGATAACATGGCACACTGGATCCTCCTGTTTCCACCTTCTGACTGCTATATTACAGGAACACTAGAGTTTAGAACCAGGGCCTTGTGTGTGCTGGACAAGTGCTCTAGCAACAGAGCCACATCCCAGCCCCTGAAGTGACTATTATGGTTTGAATCTGCGATGTTACAGGAAGGTTCACATGTTGGGGACACAGTTCCCAGCCAATGGGCTGTGGGAAGTGATCGAATGCTAAGGGCTCTGACCTGATCAAATGGTTACTTCTTTAATGGCGTTGTAAGAAATCCAATGCCCTCTTCAGATTTCTATGGGCTCTAGGCACACATGTAATACATACGTATACATAAAACCAAAACACACATACATAAAAAATAAAAATAAGTAAATCCTTTAGCTCTATAGCCCATTTCTTAGAGCTCCAGGAGTCCAATCGGCGAGAAAGAGGAGGGACAAATAGCCAAACTAGTGGAAACACATGGACTATGAACCAATAGCTGAGGAGCCCCCAACTGGATCAGGCCCTCTGGATAAGTGAGACAGCTGATTAGCTTGAACTGTTTGGAAAGCCCCCAGGCAGTGGGACTGGGACTTGTCCTTAGTGCATGAGCTGGCTGTTTGGAACCTGGGGCTTACACAGGGACACTTTGCTCAGCCTGGGAGGAGGGGACTGGACCTGCCTGGTCTGAATCTACCAGGTTGAGATGAATCCCCAGGGGAGTCCTTGCCCTGGAGGAGATGGGAATGGGGGATGGCCTGGGAGGAAGGGTGGGGGGGTAGGAGTAGAGAGGACGGGGGAATCCGTGGCTGATAAGTAAAATTAAATCAAATTATAAAATTAAAATATAAATAAATAAATAAAAAGTAAATTTTTAAAAAGATATTTTTTAAAAAGTTTGTCTAAGTTTCCTCATCAATGAGAGGGAGGATAGTTCTCTCCAACATTTCTACACTTGTAGGAGAACCATTTTGGACATAGAGAATATTTGCAAAAACCTGGCTCCACATTAGAGCTGCTCACTACTGTGACCATCACCACTGTTTTCACTACCATCAGTAAGGGATTGTACAGTAGAGCTGCTCACTACTGTGACCATCACCATCATTTTCACTACCATCAGTAAGGGATTGCACAGTAGAGCTGCTCACTACTGTGACCATAACCACTGTTTTCACTATCATCAGTAAGGGATTGCACTACAATCAGGAAGGAAGAAGACTTTCAGCAACTCACCTGGGGAAACTTGTACAGTCCCAGAAGTCTGGCCATGGAGACAGACAGGGATGACCGCGTGTCCCCAACCAAGGCAGCCTGAGGAGAGCCATGCTGGCATGTGTAGTTGGGGATGGGCTCCTGCTGCCTCGTGAGAAAGCTCATTGTCTCATGGAGGGCTCCATGCACTGTGTCCCCAGAGTTTCGAATAGAGAAGCCCAGGGTCACATTGGGCAACAAGTGAGCACTCCTATTAATCTCCTCGATGGCAAAGACGAAACTCTGGGCCACCCGGTAGCCCCAGTTGGAAACGCTGAGGGAAAGAGAAGCCCACATTCATCATCCATGATGGGGTAAATGGAACAAGAATAAACACAGTGACTCAAGGGATACATGTAAATCCTACATCTCCTCAAATCTTGCACACAGATGTGCAGAGGAGCACAGTTCAGAATACATAAAGGGAAGCCAGAGGGAACGTGGAGACAGTAATCAGAGGGGACAGTTTCAGAAGACAGGAGGGATAAGTAAGGATGTATTATATAATCTGGTGTGGTAGGACACCTGTTTAATCCCAGCACTCAGGATACAGAAGCAGGTGGATTTCCTGAGTTAGAGACCAGCATGGATTACATAGCCAGACTCAGCTACCAAACGTACATAAAGAAACTCTGTGTCATGAAAACAAAGTAAAAATCTATTACATTGTATGACTGGTTACAATTTATAGTAACTAACATCTATTTCAGAAGTACTGAACCCAAAACCCAGAATACAGGGAGAAGAGATGTGAAATGCTGTCTTTAGGACATGACTCAGATATTGCAGACCTGTGAGCCTGTCAGCAGCCAATCATGCACTGGAAAATTCCTTGTGTGGACCTACTCTTCCCTGCTGAACTATTGTCAACTAATGTATTTTGTGAAGAAGACACTCATTGTCTTCAGTCATGTACCCAACACGTGAACCCACCAAGCTCCAAGGACAGTTCCAAATCTGCAACCACACAGATAGCCCTGGTCACAGCCTGGTGGTCGTGGCACACACCTTTAATCCCAGAACTGGGAAGCCTGAGACACGTGAATCTTTGTGGGTTCAAGACCAGCCAGGTCTACAAAGTGAGTGTCTTCAAGCATGGGTGTGTGTGTGTGTGTGTGTGTGTGTGTGTGTGTGTGTGTGTGTGTGTTTGTGTGTGGCAGAGTTATTATGTGTGTGCATGGGTATATCCCCAAGGTGGGGAATGGCTGATGGGATGTCAGGATATCTTTCACAATTGCTTCTCCACCTTTAAAAAACATTATTCTGTGTGCATGTGTGTATATGATGTGTCAGCAGACCAAAATATGCTACAACATATGGAGGTCAGGAAACACCTTTTGAGTCAATTCTCTCCTCCCTCATTTACGTGGGTTTCAGAGAGGGCTTAGGTCATCTATAAAGCTTGCATGCCAAGCATTTTACCCCTTAAGGCATCTCAAGGGTCCCTCTTCACCTTATTTTCTGAGACAGGTTATATCACTGAACCTGGACCTCATCCATTCAGTAAGACTGGCCAGCTAGTGACCTTTAAAATCTGCCTGTCTCACTGTTCCTAACCAGGGTTACAGATTCTCAACATGCTGGGCTTTCACATGGGTGCTGGAAATTCAATCTCAGGTCTTCAGGCTTGCACAGCAGACAAGTCACCAACACAGAAATTTCCCCAGAACCTAAGAGCTTCACTTACAGATTCTCCGGTCTCCAATTCCCAGGTTGGATTTTAAATGTTCACATCACCAAAACATAAGTATGCAATGTGATGGGTTTGTTAGTGAGTTAATGAAATATTCTATATTGTAAATGTTCATTAAAATACATCTTTGTGAGCCGGGCGGTGGTGGCGCACGCCTTTAATCCCAGCACTCGGGAGGCAGAGCCAGGCGGATCTCTGTGAGTTCGAGGCCAGCCTGGACTACCAAGTGAGTTCCAGGAAAGGCGCAAAGCTACACAGAGAAACCCTGTCTCGAAAAACCAAAAAAAAAAAAAATACATCTTTGTACCCAATACATACATACAATTACTACGCATTTTCTTAAAAAACAATATGGGATCCAGGTATAGTGGCACACATTTGTGATTCCAGAAATCAGCTTATGGAGGCAGGAAGATAGTGAGTTCTAGGCTAGCATCATCTACACAGTAAGACCTTCTCTCAAAAAACCTCAAGGATAAGCCATTGTGGCCACTGTGTTGGCCTATGCTTGTAATCCTGAGTTTCAAGGCTAGTATGAACTGCACAAGGAGTTCCAGACTAGTCAGAGCACAAAGTAGGATACTGTCTCAAAAGAAGTAATATAAATCATGATAAAGGTGAAAAATCAGTAGTGAAAATCTTTTGCATATGTAGCTGATTATAAAATGATGGTAGTCAGAGCCTCCCAGCACCAGACTGGACTAAGAGATTTCAGCTACTCCCTAAGACAGAGCCCACAATCGCCAATTGGACTAACAGTTGCTCCCTGAGATGAAGAATCCATCAGCATCGACTAGACCAAGAGCTCCCACTGGACCAAGAGATGCTCCCTAAGACACAGACACCGCTTAGACCAAGTGGAGAAAGAGATGGGGTAGACGCCAGTGTAAAAATATAGTCAACAACATAAAAACCAATATTGCTCTATCAGAAGCTACATCAGCAAGACCTGAACATCCCAACACTGAAGAAACAGAAGAAATCGATCTTAAAAAAAAACTTTAAGAAGATGATAGAGATGTTTAAAGAGGAAATGAAAAATTCCCTTAAATAATTAGAGGAAAAGGCAAACAAAAAAATGCAAGAAATCAGTATATCCCCTAAAGAAAGTCAAGAAAAAGCAATTGAACAAGTGAGAGATATAGTTCAAGATTTGAAAAACGAAATAGAGACAATAAATAAGAAATAAACTGAGGAAATGATGGAAGTGGAAAATTTGAGTAAATGAACAGGAACTACAGATGCAAGCATAACCAACAGAATGGAAGAGAGAATCTCTGGCATTAAAGGTACGATAGAGGAAATAGATTCATCAGTCAAAGAAAACACTAAAGCCAACAAAGTTGTGACCCAAAATGTCCAAGAAATTTGGGACACCATGAAAAGACCAAACCTAAGAATAATAGGAATAAAAGAAGGAGAAGAATACCAACTCAATGGCACAGAAAATTATATTCAATAAAATCATAGAAGAAAACTTTCCCAACCTAAATAAGGAAATGCCTATAAAGATACATGAAGCTTACAGAACAACAAATAGACTGGATTCAAAACATAGTCCCCTCACCACATAATAATCAAACCACTAAACATACAGAATAAAGAAAAATATTAAGAGCTGCAAAGGAAAAAAGGCCAAGTAACATGCATATAAAGGCAGACCCATAAGAATAACACCTGATTTCTCAATGGTGAATCTAAAAGCCAGAAGGTCCTGGACAGACAATATACAGACACTAAGAGACCATGGATGCCAAATATTACACCCAGCAAAACTGTCAATCAACATAGATGGAGCAAACAAAATATTCCATGATAAAACCAGATTTAAACAATATCTTTCCACAAAGCCAGCCCTATAGAAAGCACTAGAAAGAAAAATCCAACATAAGGAAGTTAGATACACCCATGAAGACACAGGCAATAGATAGTCCCACACCAATGAATACCAGAGAAGGGAAACATATAACACTACCACCAAAAAATAACAGGAATTCACAATAACTGGTCATTAATATCCATTAATATCAATGGTCTTAACTCATCTATAAAAAGACACAGGATAACAGAATGGATATGAAAACAAGATCCACCCTTCTGCTGCATAAAAAAAAACATACCTCAACTTCAAAGACAGACACTATGTCAGAATAAAAAGCTGGGAAAAGACTTTCCTATCAAATGGATTTAAGAAGCAATCTGGTGTAGCTATTCTAATATCTAATAAAATAGACTTCAAACTAAAATCAATCAAAAGAGATCAGGAAGGAAATTACATATTTATCACAGGGAAAATCCGACAAAATGAAGTCTCAATTCTGAATATTTATGCCCCAAATGCAAGGGCACCCACATTTGTAAAAGAAACATTACAAAAGCAAAAATCGCCCATCAAACCTCATACACTAGTAGTGGGAGACTTCAACACCCCACTCTCACCAATAAACAGGTCTACCAGGCAGAAACTTAACAGAGAAATAAGGGAACTAACAGACACTATGACTCAAATGGACTTAATAGATACCTACAGAATATTCCACCCAAACACAAAAGAATATACCTTCTTCTCAGCACCCCATGGAACCTCCTCTAAAACTGACCACATGCTTGGTCACAAAGCAAATCCCAACAGACACAAAAAAATTGGAATAACCTCCTGTATCTTATCAGACTACCAGAGAATAAAGTTACATTTCAACAACAACAAAAATTACAGAAAGCCTACAATCTCATGGAACCTGAATAATGCCCAATGGAATCACCAATGTATCAAGGACAAATAAAGAAAGAAATTACAGATTTCCTAAAATTCAATGAAAACGAATGTACAACATACCCAAACTTATAGGAAACCATGAAAGCAGTGCTAAGAGGAAAATTCATAGCACTAAATGTCCACATAAAGAAGTTGGAGAAATCTCACAATAGTGACTTAACAGTACACCTGAAAGCTCTAGAATAAAAAGAAGCAAACTCACCCAGGAGAAACAAAGGAAGGAAACAATCGAATTGAGGGCTGAAATCAATAAAATAGAAATAAAGAGAACAATACAAAGAATCAATGAAAGAACAAGTTGGTTCCTTGAGAAAATCAACAAGATAGACAAGACCTTATCCAAACTAACCAAAAAGCAGAGAGAAAGCATTCAAATTAACAAAGTGAGAAATGAAAATGGAGACATAACAACAGACAATGAGGAAATCCAGAGAATCATAAGGTGGTACTTCAAAAACCTATACTCCACAAAATTGGAAAAATCTGAAAAAAATGGACATTTTTCTAGATAGGTACCACATAACAAAGTTAAATCAAGACCATATAAACTATTTAAATAGACCAATAACCCCTAAGGAAATAGAAACAGTCATTAAAAGTCTCCCAATGAAAAAATGCCCAGGACCAGATGGTTTCAGTGCAGAAGTCTACCAGATTTTCAAAGAAGAGCTAATACCAATAATCTTCAAATTGTTCCACACAATAGAAACAGAAGAACATTACCAAACTCTTTTTATGAGGCTAAAATTACCCTGATACCCAAACCACACAAAGATGCAACAAAGAAAGAGAACTACAGACCAATCTTCCTCATGAACATTGATGCAAAAATACTCAATAAAATACTGGCTAACCGAATCCAGGAACACATCAAAAAAATTATCCACTATGACCAAGTAGGCTTCATCCCAGGGAGGCAAGGATGGTTCAACATACAAAAATCTGTCAATGTAATACACCATATAAGCAAACTGAAAGAAAAAAACCCATGATCGTCTCATTAGATGCTGAAAAAGCCTTCAACAAAATCCAATACCCCTTCATTGCAAAGATTTTAGAGAGATCAGGAATAAAAGGAACACACCTAAACATAATAAAGGCAATTTACAGCAAGCCAACAGCAACAACCAAGTTAAATGGAGAGAAACTCAAAGCAATTCCACTAAAATCAGGAACAAGACAAGGCAGTCCACTCTCCCCATACTTACTCAATATAGTACTTGAAGTTCTAGCCAGAGCAATAAGACAACAAAAGAAGATCAAGGGGATACAAATTAGAAACGAAGAAGTCAAATTTTCACTTTTTGCAGATGATATGATAGTATACATTAGTGACCCCAAAAATTCTACCAGGGAACTCCTACAGCTGATAAACTCCTTCATTAAGGTGGCAGGATACAAGATTAATTCAAAAAAATCAGTAGCCCTCCTATATACAAATGATAAATGGGCTGAGAAAGAAACCAAAGAAACATCACCCTTTGTAATAGCCACAAATAATATAAAATACCTTGGGGGTAACTGTAACTGAGCAAGTAAAAGACCTGTATGATAAGAATTTTAAGTCTCTGAAGAAAGAAATCGAAGAAGATATCAGAAAATGGAAATATCTCCCATGCTCATGGATAGGTAGGATTAACACAGTAAAAATGGCAATCTTACCAAAAGCTATGTACAGATTCAATGCAATACCCATCAAAATCCCAACTCAATTCTTCACAGACTTGGAAAGAACAATACTTAACTTTATATGGAAAAAACACCTAGGATAGCTAAAAGAATCCTGTAAAATAAAGCAACCTCTGGAGGCATCACCATCCCTGACCTCAAGCTCTACTATAGAGCTATAGTAATATAAACAGCTTGGTGCTGTGCTGTGGGGTGTTCTGTATGGCAAATGTGTTGCTAATTAGTCAATAAATAAAACACTGATTGGCCATTGGCTAGGCAGGAAGTGTAGGCGGGACAAGGAGGAGAATAAAGCTGGGAAGTGGAAGGCTGAGTCAGAGAGACACTGCCAGCCGCCATGATGACAAACAGCATGTGAAGATGCCGGTAAGCCACGAGCCATGTGGCAAGGTATAGATGAATGGAAATGGATTAATTTAAGCTGTAAGAACAGTTAGCAAGAAGCCTGCCACGGCCATACAGTTTGTAACCAATATAAGTCTCTGTGTTTACTTGGTCGGGTTTGAGCGGCTGTGGGACTGGCAGGTGAGAGAAATTTGTCCTGACTGTGGGCCAGGCAGGAAAACTCTAGCAACAGTGCTGGCATAAATACCAAGATGTGGACCAATGGAATCAAACTGAAGACCCTGACATTAAAGTACACAGCTATGAATATATGACTTTCGACAAAGAGGCCAAAACTGTACAATGGAAAGAAGAAAGCATCTTCAACAAATGGTGCTGGCATAACTGGATGTCAATAAACAGAAGATTGTAAACAGATCCATATCTGTCGCCATGCAAGTGGATCAAAGACCTCAACATAAATCCAGTTACACTGAACTTGATAGGAGAGAAAATAGGAAGTAGTTGAATGCATAGGCACAGGAGACCACTTCCTAAATATAACAACAGTAGCACAGACACTGAAAGAAACAATTAACAAATGGGACCTCCTGAACTGAGAAGCATTTGTAGAGCAAAGGACATGGTCAATAAGACAAAACAACAGCCTACAGAATGGGAAAAGATCTTCACCAACCCCAGATCAAAGAGCTGATCTCCAAAATAGATGAAGAACTCAAAAAACTAGACTTCAAAATACTGAACATTCCAATTAAAAAAAAATAGGCTACAGAGCTTAACAGAGAATTTTCAACAGAAGAATGTCAAATGATTAAAAGACATTTAAGGAATTGCTCAATATCCTTAGTCATCAGGGAAATGCAAATCAAAACAACTCTGAGATACCACCTTACACCTTACACAAAAACACTGAAGACAGCTTATGTCTTCATAGGGGGAACAACCCTCCACTGTTGGTGGGAATGCAAACTTGTACAGCCACTTTGGAAATCAGTATGGCAGCTTCTCAGAAAATTGAGAATAAGTCTTCTTCAAGAACTAGCTATACCACTCTTGGTCATATACCCAAGGAATGCTCAATCTAAACACAAAGACACATGCTCAACTATGTTCATATCAGCATTATTTGTAATAGCAAGAACCTAGAAACAACCTAGATGTCCCTCAACTGAAGAATGCATAAAGAAAATGTGGTACATATACACAATGGAGTACTACTCAGCAGTAAAAAACAATGATATCATGAAATTTGCAGGCAAATGGATGGAACTAGAAAATATCATCCTGAGTGAGGTAACCCAGACTCATAAATACAAACATAGTATATACTCACTCATAAGTGGATAGTAGATGTAAGACAAAGGATAACCCAACTACATCCCACAGCTCCAGAGTCTAGCTAACAAGGAGGGACCCTAAGAAAGACACATAGATATCCCAGGGAAAGAGAAATAGATGAAATCTACATGAGCAAACTGGGAGTGGGGGGGTGATAATGAAGGGTAAAGAATGGGGGTTGACAACATAATGAAATGGGTGGATCGAGCTGGAACAGGCACAGATTGGTAGAGTAAGGAAAGAGATATCATGATAAATGAAGACATCATGGGAATAGGAAGAGGCAGAGTGCCGGGCAAGCTCTCAGGAATCCACAAGGATGACCCCACCCTGGACTACTGGCAATGACTGAGAGGGTACCTGGTCTGGTCTACTCTGGTGACTGGTCTAGTGAAAACCCTAACTTTATCCAGTGACTGATGGAAGCAGATGCAGAGATCCACGTCCAGGCACTAGGCTGAGCTCAGGAATCCAATCATATACAGAGAGGAGGGATTCTGTGGGCAGGGGACGTCAAGATTATGATGGGAAAATGTGCAGAGATGACCAGCCACACTATGGGAAACCCGTGAACTGTGGACTAATATCCATGGAACCACCATAGGACTGGACTAGGCCCTCTGAATATGGGAGACAGTTGTTTAGCGTGAACTATTTAGGGGACACCAGGCAGAGGTATCAGGACCTGCTCCCTGGTGCATGGGCAGGCTTTTGGAGCCCAGTGCCTAGGGTGTGACACCTTGCACAGTCTTGGTGCAGCTGGGAGGGGCTTGGAGCTGCCTCAGCTGAGTGTGCCAGGCTCTGCTGACTCCCCATGGGAGACCTTGATTTGGAAAATATGGGAATGGGGGCAGTGGCTTGGGAGGGAAGGCTAGGGGATGGGAAGATGGAAGAGATGGGAATCTGTGGTTGGTATATAAAGTAAATAGAAAATGTCTTAATAAAAATGAAAAGAAGAAACAAAAAATGATGGTACTTAGTTTAGAAAACTCTCTTACCAACTCTTTATGACTCAGGTCTCATTACGTAACACAGTCTTGCCTGTAACTAATAATGCTCCTGCCTCAGCTTCCTGAAGGCAGGAGTGCAGCCATACACCCTATGCTCAGTCATTGCAGCAATTAAAAAGCAATAAAGCTAAATACAACCATTTAAAAATCAAATAATATCCCAAATGCTTGTTTTGAATACTAATGCATACAACAGTGTCTTGGAAAAGCTGGGACAAAAATATCCTAAAGTGGGACTGTGGATGGCTCAGGTCATAAGTATGATCTCCAGCACCTAAGGAACTGAGTTGGTGATATGATCCAATAATCTCAGCACTCAGAAGGTAGAGGCAGGGGGATCAGAAATTCAAGGTCATCTTTGACTACCTAGTGAGTTAGAGGCTTAGGAGGCTTAGAAAAATAACAAGCAAAAGGAATATAGTACAGAAGAATCTGAGAGGCTAATAAATAATGAAAAATCTATTATTAACACATTAACGCACTCAACAACCACACCTACCTAGACACTACATTGGGAACCAAGGATATACAAAAGAATCAAGAATCACCCTCTGGCCTTTGGAGCACATACATTACAGCCAGTACATGAGCAGCCTATACTTTAATCTGGTACAAACAAGAAAGACAGACACACAGAAGTGATGTAAAAGGAGAAAAACAGAACTAGTGCATGTATACACAGAGAAAAGTGGTGGCCATCTATCTCAGATTATGAGAATCAACCCTTATCCAAAACTTCACACAAGCTTGTAAAGCTGCTTCTGGATTTAAGAGAATCCTATCCCACATCAAGCACTTACCCTGAAGCCACAAGTCCAGATGGTGGGGCAGTGAAGTCAGACAGGTTACCAATAGAGAGGTAAAAGATGGAGAAGCTGCCCCCCACTATTACATCTCCAGGACGGTCAAAGTGAGGCCTCTGCCTTGGCAACAGCCAGGATCTTGGTGCAGAAAAGGCAGACCCAGAGAGACAGCCAAAGAGAACAGGAAGAAGAGTACACAGTCACATGCCTGCTGGGGGCCAGACAGCCAGTGACAGGACAGCCCCACATGGGGCAATGGCTCACAGTGAATGGGGCTTTTATCTGGGAGACTGCCCTTGATCAAGGACCTCAGGCTAAGACCACACTGGGAGCTAGATGTTTGCAGGCTGTAGGGAAAATATTGATCAGGAGGTGGTGGAGGTGGGTGGCCACTAAATCCCAGAGTCATTAAGAGTTTTATCCCCTTCTCCCAAGGCTTCATGGCCTCTCTGCATCCAAGTTCACAGCTCTGGGCATCATCTGCAGACTACAGGAAGGGCAACAACAGGTCTGATTGTCTCCTGTGGGACTTGCAATTGCAGGGTCATCTGTCCTCAGGGCACTGTTCTGAAGAGAGACCCAGGTAGGTACAAGAAGTAAATAGCCCAGTGGCTGAAGTAAAATATTTCTTTCATACTCTACATTCTGGGTGATCTTTGCTTTCCTTAAAGAATTTTTAGAGTAGTTTATCATGGATAATTTAGACATACAAACAAACAACCAGTAGAAAACAACAAATATCCATGTCATTGTAGAGTCATGAGAAATCCTCCCAAGTGACTGAGCCTTTTTTCTGTCATTTGAAAACAGATCCTAAGGCTGCCACAATGGTTTTCAGATAAAATCACTTGATACACAAACCTGATGACCTGTGTGTGATACTAAGAACCCCCATAGAGGTAGAAGGAGAGAACCAACTCTACAAAGTTATCCTCTGACTCCACTCACAAGCCATGGTGCGCACATACACACACATACACAAAAACACACACTAACACACATACACACACACACACTATTTATACATACGAAAAAGATATACTCAGGTAAGAAGACAAATTCTAAACTCTGTTACTCCAACATATGAGTATAATTTTCTAACGTAATCATAATTCTCACACTGAAGCCTTAAATAGAGCCAAATTGATGGCTCAGCACCTTAGCAAGTAAAGGCAGCCTGATGATCCTCATTAAATGTACAGGTCGTAGGTGATGAGAGAAAAGAACTGACTTCTCAAACTTATCCTCTGACCTCCACATAGTGCTTTGGCACTTGCATGTCCAAAAACATAGATGGGAACATGCACACACAACTCTATCAATCAATAGATGTATAAAATTAAAAACAGATAAATAAAAACCAGCAATAATCCAGTTCACTAATATATATGCCTATGCTTATTGAACTTTCACTTTCAATAATTTGATCTTTACTTAGATATCAGGATATAATGGAAGTTCACACTCTTTAATTGATAGATAATTCTTTTTTCCTTTTTTCCTTTTTATTAAAAGATTTTCTATTCATTTTACATATCAACCATAGATTTCCCCTGTCCTCCCTCCTCCCACCCCCTAGGCTTTTCCCCTAACCCACCCCCTATTCCCACTTCCTCCAAGACAAGGTCTCCCATGGGGAGTCAGCAGAGCCTGGTACATTCAGTTGAGGCAGGTCCAAGCCCCTCCTCCCTGTACCAAGGCTATACAAAGTGTCTTACCATAGGCACTAGGTTCCAAAAAGCCAGCTTATGCACTAAGGACAGGTCTCAGTCTCACTGCCTGGGGGCCCCCTAAACAGTTGAAGCTAAACAATTGTCTCACTTATCCAGAGGGCCTAGCCCAATGCCATGGGGGCTACTCAGCTATTGGTCCACAGTTCATGTGTTTCCACTAGTTTGGCTAGTTGTCTCTGTACTTTTTCCAATCATGGTCTCGATGTCTCTTGCTCATAGCATCCCTCCTCTCTCTCTCATCGATTGGACTCCTGGAACTCCGCCTGGGACCGGGCCGTAGATCTCTGCATCTGCTTCCATCAGTCACTGGATGAGGGTTCTATGATGTCAGTTGGGGTATTCAGCCATCCGACCACCAGAGTAGGTCAGGTCAGGCATACTCTTGACCATTGCCAGCAGTCAATGATGGAGTCATCTTTGTGGATTCCTGGGGACCTCCCCAGCACTCTGCTTCTCCCTAGCCCCATGGTGCCTTCATTTATTACAGTACCTCTTTCTTTGTTCTCCCACTCTGTTCCTGATCCAGCTCAAACCTTCCGCTCCCCTAAACTCTCATTCCCCCATCCCTTGCCCTCCATTACCCACCCTTAACCCCAGTTTGCTCATGTAGATCTCATCCATTTCCCGTCTCTGGGCGATCCCTGTGTCTATTCTACTTACAAGCTAGTCTCCCTGGAGCTGTGGGTTGCAGTGCAGTTATCCTTTGCCTTACATCTAGTATCCACTTATGAGTGAGTAATACTATGTTTGTCTTTCTGAGTCTGGGTTACCTCACTCAGGATGATATTTTCTAGTTCCATCCATTTGCCTGCAACATGATGTCATTGTTTTTCTCTGCTGAGTAGTAACCATTGTGTATATGTACCACATTTCCTTTATGTATTCTTCAGTTGAGGGACATCTGGGTTGTTTCTAGGTTCTTGCTATTACAAATAATGCTGATATGAACATAGTTGAGCATGTGTCTTTGTGGTAAGATTGAGCATTCCTTGGGTATATGCCCAAGAGTGCTATAGCTAGTTCTTGAAGAAAATTGATTCCCAATTTTCTGGAAAAAAAAACGCCATACTGATTTCCAAAGTGGCTGTACAAGTTTGCATTCCCACCAACAGTGGAGGAGTGTTCCCCTTGCTCCACATCCTCTCCAACATAAACTGTCTTCAGTGTTTTTGATCTTAGCCATTTTGACAGGTGTAAGGTGGTATCTCAGAGTTGTTTGGATTTGCATTTCCCTGATGACTAAAGATGTTGAGCAATTCCTTAAATGTCTTTCAGCCATTTGACATTCTTCTGTTGAGAATTCTCTGTTCATCTCTATAGCCCATTTTTTAGTTGGACTTTTAGGTATTTTGATGTCTAGTTTCTTAAGTTCTTTACATATTCTGGAGATCAGCCCTCTGTCAGATGTGGGGTTGGTGAAGATCTTTTTCCATTCTGTAGGCTGTTGTTTTGTCTTATTGACCATGTCCTTTGCTCTACAAAAGCTTCCCAATTTCAAGATGTCCCATTTATTAATCATTGTTCTCAATATGTGCTACTAGTGTTACATTTAGGAAGTGATCTCTGGTGCCAATGCATTCAAGACTACTTCCTTCTTTCTCTTCTATCAGGTTCAGAGTAACTGGATTTATGTTGAGGTCTTTGATCCACTTGGCTTAAGTTTTGTTCAAGGTGACAGATATGGATCTATTTTCAATCTTCTACATGTTGACATCCAGTTATACCAGCACAATTTGTTGAAGATGCTTTCTTTTTCCATTGTACAGTTTTGGCTTCTTTATCAAAAATTAGGTGTTCATACATGTGCGGATTAATGTCAGGGTCTTCAGTTTAGTTCCATTGGTCCACATATCAGTTTTTATGCCAGTATCAAGCTGTTTTTATTACTGTAGCTCTATAGTAGAGCTTGAAGTCAGGCATCATGATGCCTCCAGAGGTTGCTTTATTGTATATGATTCTTTTAGCTATCTGTGGTGGTATTGTGTTCCCCAAAATATTGTGGACCCTAATAAACTTATCTGGGGTCAGAGAACAGAAAAGCCACTAGATACTTAGGATAGGCAGTGGTAGCACATGCCTTTAATCCTAGCATTCCAGAGGCAGAAATCCATCTGTTCAAGGATACAGCCAAGCATGGTGACTTACACCTTCAATCCCAGAAAGCAAGCCTTTAATCCCAGGGAGTGATGACAGAAAGCAGAAAGGTATATAAGGCATGAATTCCAGAAACTAGAAGCATTTTGGCTGGTTAAGCTTTTAGGTTTTGAGCAGCACAGTTCAGCTGAGAGCCATTCGGATATGAGGACACAGAGGCTTCCAGTCTGAGGAAACAAAATCAGCTGAGAAGTTGGCCGGGTGAGGTTAGCTGTGGCTTGTTCTGTCTCTCTGATCTTCCAGTATTCACCCCAATAACTGGCCTCAGGTTTGATTTTATTAATAAGACCTTCTAAGATTCCTGCTACAGCTATTCTGGGTTTTTTGTTTTTCCATACGAAGTTGAGTATTGTTCTTTCAAGGTCTGTGAAGAATTGTGTTGGGATTTTGATGGGTATTGCATTGAATCTGCAGATTGCTTTTGGTAAGATTGCCATTTTTACTATGTTAATCCTACCTATCCATGAGCATGGGAGATCTTTCCATTTTCTGATCTTCTCAAGTTCTTTCTTCAGAGACTTAAAGTTCTTGTCATACAGGTCCTTCATTTGCTTAGTTACAGTTACCCCAGGTATTTTATATTATTTGTGGCTATTGTAAAGGGAGATGTTTCTTTGATTTCTTTCTCAGCCTGTTTGTCATTTGTATATAGGAGGGCTACTGATTTTTTTTAATTAATCTTGTATCCTGCCACCTTACTGAAGGTGTTTATCAAATGTAAGAGTTCCTTGGTGGATTTTTTGGGGTCACTTATATATACTATTATATCATCAGCAAATAGTGAAAGTTTGATTTCTTCCTTTCCAATTTTTATGCCCTTGATCTCCTTTTGTTGTCTTATTGCTCTAGCTAGAACTTCAAGTACTATATTGAGTAAGTATGGGGAGAGTGGACAGCCTTGTCCTGTTCCTGATTTTAGTGGAGTTGCTTTGAGTTTCTCTCCATTTAACTTGGTTGTTGCTGTTGGCTTGCTGTAAATTGCCTTTATTATGTTTAGTTAAGTTCTTGTATTCCTGATCTCTCCAAGATCTTTATCATAAAGTGGTTTTGGATTTTGTAAAATGTCTTTTCAGCATCTAATAAAATGATCATGTGGTTTTTTTCTTTCAGCTTTTTTATATGTGTATTACATTGACAGACTTTCCTATGTTGAACCAAATTTGCATCTGTGGGATGAAGCCTACTTGATCATGGTGGATATTTTTTTCATGTGTTCTTGGAGTCTGTTTGCCAATATTTTATTAAGTATTTTTGTATCGGTGTTCATGAGGTAGATT